TCAGAGCCATAGCAAATGGAATACATGGTCCATTTTCTATGTAATATGGAATTTCAGGATCCACACCTTCAAGAAAGAGGGACATCCGGTTCTTCCAGAGACTAAAATTGTCACGGACAAACCGGGAGGTTTGCCAAGAGAGCCATTGTCTTGTTTGTGTGTGTTTGTTTGTAATTTGTGAAGCCATTTGTAAGCGGTAAAGTTATCTAAAAAAAGAGATAAACTAATACATAAAACATCTAAATAGAAAAAGAGAAGAAAACACTGGTCTGATACCACTTGTTGGTCCCTTGAGGGTCTACAAGAATAGTAAATCAGTTTGTAGAAGGGGGTATGAATACAAATACAATATTTTCAAATTTAAAATATATATTGATAAAGAAGATCAATACAGATTTTACAAGATTGTTTGTGGAAAGATAAGGTAATAAAAACCTATCTAAACAATCTTTGGTTACACACGAGTTCTTAGCAAACAAGAAAAGAAATGCTGTAAAGAGAACATCCATTACTTAAGCTAGAAAATGCTTAAAGTAAGAATTAGGTTTAGAGAGTGAGTTGCGTGCACTCTGCATGGAGAAGAAACACTTCTATTTCCCAGTGCATTAAATGTTCATTTAATGCAATATGGTAGGGTTAGAGTGTGTGTCAACCTTAAGAGGAAGGCTTGTCCTTTGCCACAGTGAATAGTACAAAAAGCACTATTCATGGGCAGACATCCTTACCTAAGGTTGGTGGACAATAGAGTCGACTAGTCGGCTCCGTACTGTACCAATGTTTATAAGGGTATGGGTTTGTCCTTTGTGTGCATAAGGATAAGACAACAACAATCGTGCTAAGCAAGCTTCCTTTGATCGCTGAATGCTGGAATGACCTGAAGGTCTCTTCATCATTCGCTGAGGCTTGAGCAGTCTTCACACATATGTAGACGGGCTTGTAATCACTGAGTACCGCTTCAGATCACGTACTCTTCAGTCTCTAATCTTCAGTTTCAGTCTTTGACATTTGCTGAAGGTTCTTTGGTGTGAGTATTGTCTTCTTGAAGTATCGCTGTCTCTGATTGATTTACAATACAAGTTCTTCAGTGGTCACTGAACAGACTCAGTGAAGATCGCTGGAACTAAAAAGACAGAAACATGAATACAACGTATAAGTGAAAACGGATTATCATCAAATCACTGAGAGAGAGGATCAACAGGTCTGTAGATCAAACAATCAGATAAAGGTATCTTTATCAATCAAAGTAAGTATGTTCGTGACATGCTGAAGAAGTTTGATCTATCCAACAGTTCATCTATGAAGACTCCAATGGCTCCTCCACTCTCTCTCAACAAAGATCCAAATGGAAAGCCTGTAAACGTTACTGTTTATAGAGAAATGATCGGCTCCCTGCTGTATCTAACAGCTAGTCGACCTGATATCATGTACTCCACATGTTTATGTGCAACATATCAAGCTGAACCAAAGGTATCCATCTGATTGCTATCAAATGCTTATTCAGATATCTTAAGGGAACTCCTAACATGGGTCTTTGGTACCGTAAAGGTTCAGGTTTTGACCTAATCGGTTATTCGGCTAGTGATTTTGCATGTTGCAAAATTGATAGGAAAAGCACCACTAGAGGCTGTCAGCTTCTAGGTGGAAAGTTGGTGAGCTGGACAAACAAAAAGCAAAACTCAATGTCCACATCAACAGCTGAAGCTGAATACGTAGCCACTATTAGTTGATGTGCCCAAATTCTTTTGATGAAAAACCAGCTGATGGACAACGATCTTCAGTTTTCAAAGGTTCCTATCTACTGTGGTAGCACTAGTGCTATTGCAATTGCAAACAATCCTGTACTTCACTCCAAGACCAAACATATTGAGATCCGGTATCATTTTATCAGATATCATGATATGAATGGTGATATTGAACTTCACTTCGTTCCAACTGAGTATCAACTCGCTGACCTTTTCACCAAGCCTCTTGATGAGACAAGATTCAACATCTTGATCAGYGAATTGGGGATGTTAAACACTGAAGACTAATGTTCAGCTATTAAACATCACTCAGTAAGTGAAATGATTCAGTGCTCCATCTCTAACACTGAACTTTTGATTAAATATATCTATTCTCTCTAAGGTATGACTATTCTTCTCTTTTCTTTGACTAAAAACCTTCACTGAAGCTTTTCTTCTACAGTGACTAAAGTTTTAAAAGTTGGTTTCAATGATCTTCTTATCACTGACCATATATATAAGTATATCTTTATATTTATACTCTTTAAATATCAAAAATGATCACTGAATCTTTTTTATCAGTGATTAAAATGTTTTTAAATGCCAGTTTCAGTGATTCTCTTATCACTAACACTGATGTCTTAAAACCCCAACTGAAGTCTTTCATTTTCAGTGATAAAATGTTTTAAATGCTCTTTTCAGTGTTTAGTTAAACACTGTATGACTCTTCGTTTTCTTAAAAACCATTCGTTTTTAAAAGAAAAATAGTTAATGAACCGTCTTAATGACGACATTCTCTATTTACTATGCGCAACGCTTTGAGACGCGTAAAAGGTACTGTCATTACGCAACCTCATTTAATGCCATCCAATCATTGATGAGAACGTGCCATTTTTCATCATGGCCACTTTCCCCAACCGTCGTCTTTTCACTCTCTCATATTCCTTCTCTCTCCTCCTACCTATAAATGTGAGACTTCTTCTCCACTTTTCTCTTTATGCTTTCAAAATTCTTAGACGAACCTCTGTAAGAATTGTTCCAAAAAGCAAGAACTCTCTCAAATATTCAAGACCTTTCGACCTTTTCTCTCTAAACTCCTAAGGTCAATATCTTTTTTTCTTTATCTTATGTTATAAGAAATAAGTTTAATAATTTCAAGAAATTTGTTCTCTTGAAATATTAAACTACAAAGATTATTTAATCAACTCCTACTTGGTTATAATCTTGTTTATGTATACACATTCGAATTGAAAAACCCTAAATCTTCTTTAAGGATTTTTCAAAAGAAGTTTTTATTGATTCAAAAACCTTTCTATATTCTTCTCCCAAAACAATCTTGGTTTTACTAACAACCTGTTTATCTTATTCTTATTAAAAACATATGGCAGCCAAGAACGTTAACTTCTCTCTTGATGAGGTATCCTTCAAGGCCAACAACCACATTGGCTTGTTGGATATTCCCTCTTCAAAGGTGGAATACCAAGAAGCGGCCAACTTCCTCAAACAGTCATCGCTCGACTTCGCACTCAACCATGAACCAATCATGGTGAAAGAACTTCTCCAACAGTTCTGGTTCACTGCTGAGGTTGTAGACATCGAGGTCAAGCTTGGACGTCAAGTTGAACAGGTCAACTTCACCTTCAACCGCATGGAAGTGAAGTTTGGTGTGAACACCTTGAAGACAGCTCTTTTCCTTCCCAAAGGCCCCTACAACAGCGAACCCACAACGGCCGAGATCATCGAATATCTCGATGTCATTGGCAATCAATAGCCAATGAAGATGGACTCAAATGCTCCCATGAAGTCCTTGTCGAAGATCGAGATGAACATGATGTCAGTTGTTTGGCAATACCTATTCTCTCACTTCATCCAGTGCATGGGTGAAAAGACTGGAGGCCAAGACCAGGCCTTTAGGATCGCCTTGACCATAGGCGTATCTGCGATTTCGCGTTGCAATATAAATTATGTTGAGGTCATTTTTGATGACCAGGTGCTCAAGCTGAACAAGCGCCAGCGAGAAAAGGTGGTGCCTTACACCAGGTTCCTTTCGATGGTCTTTGCGAAAAAACTTTGGAGATCATTACTCCACGGAACTACCTCTTCTCCTCAGGTGGCTAGGACAAGGGTAACCCCCCCCCCCCGAGTCTAGCCCAGCCACCAAAACCTCTTCAAAATGACCCTCTCACCCAACTCTTGGTTCTCATCAGAGAGCCAAGAAGTGCAAAATGGGGATAGCCACGTCTCTTGCTGAAGCCTCTCGACATGTTTCAGCTATTGAAACTAGCCTTAACCCCGAGGCATCTTTAGATAACCCTCCTAGCTCTTCAGTGATTTTTTCCATCATTGTTGTATCAGTGGCATCTACCCCAATCGCCTTAGTGACCCAAATCACTGAAGGTGTGAATATTAGCACTGCCACCGCTGAACACCCACGTCTCTTCTCAACCACTTTCTTTTCTCCTCCTTCTTTGGTCTTTACACATGTTGATGATGTATCAGCGTCTGTCCTCTCTGATACTGAGACACACACCAATGGACCTGAGGTTGCTCCTTTCGATGCTCCTCAGCATACGGATGTCCATCCTTTTGACGACATTTTTGCTCACGCCAGCGACAATCCTTTCGATGTCATTGATAGCCCCTCAGGTATTTCATTTTCCTACCCCCTTCATTTCTACTAACCTTGAGCCCTTTGTTGCTCACACTTCCTCTCTTGCAGGTCCTTTTACGTATCAACCAGATGCTGAAGAAGAGGAAGAGGACGGGGGCAAGAAAGAAGATGAAGGGGATGAAGAGATTGATGATGACTATGATATGGCATCTAACGTCAAACTTCTCCTCCCAGCCGTTGATTCAGTTCTCTACCGGATAACTTAAGTTCATCAAGAGATGCCCCACCAGGCTGCACTTGATGCGAACCTCTCAGCTATCCAAGCGGATGTTCAAGAACTTCAGAGTCACCTCCTGACTCTCCAAGAAGTTGTTCGAGCCAACACTGAAGCCATTGATGTTCTCTCCAGCAGGGCTGATGATGCTTAGCCTCCCGTCCATCAGCAGACGGGACTTCTTCAACAGATCCTGGATGCTCTGCATCAACCAGCTCTAGTGATCCCACCTTCTTTCTCTGTCGATAATCGCGCTCAGCTCAATAAGACGCGTGATGCAACGACAATTCTAGCCAGTGCTTTGTCAAGGCTAGAGGAGATGATGGTTCTCCAGCATCAGCACTTGGACGAACTCTCTGGCCTATACTCCCAAGTCTTAGCCAGAGAGGGGGAGATGAGGTCCAACACTTCTAGACAATCCAATGCTATTGCTGCTCCTGATCCTGCTGCTGCTCCAACATCTGTTGTAGTTGAAGCTGAAGCTAAAGCACCTAGAGCTGACGCGGTTTTTGCTCTAGTAATCTCGACCACCGAAGTTGTACCAGCTGAGGTAGTCGATGCCATCCCTAGGGATGATGCTCCTTCCATCACCGCTGCTGCTGGTGATGATGATGATGATGATGATTATGAACATGATGAACCTACCATCCCAAACCCCGAAAGTGACCTTGATGGTGACAATGATGATGATGATGAACATGACTTTACCATCAATTATCAAAAGCCATCAACTGCCACCAAAGGAGTCACCCTCAGGGATTCTGCATCCCAAGGGGAGCAAAGGGAAGGAGAGTCTGCTCCATCAAGGAACTTGGACCCCAAGTCAAAAGGCAAGGCAGTCGTTGAAGAAAGGAACATGAAGGTATTGTTTAATATCCTCAACAACCCTTATTTGAAGACTCTACCTCTCAGGTAGTAGTCACTTCTTTGTATCAACTTCAAATTCCATCAGCCACCTGCGGTGGACTGGAGTGGGTTCCTAATCACCCTGTCTCTAGTGCTCCCACCGACCAGCAGATGACTCAGCTAAAGGAGTCACTTGACCAGACTAGAGTAAAAATTCCTCTTCGTACCTCTAGTGGTGGTGAGTTCGACTTCCTTTCTGAAGCTGAAAGACTCGAGGCAGTAAGGGCTGAAGAAGAGCTAGAACTTCAGAAGAAGCAGACTGAAGTTAGATTAAAGGTGGCCAAGTCACTAGCTGCGAAGATTCTCCCCAAGAGCAAGTCCAAGAGAAAGGTGAACGTTGTCCAAGCCCAAGCTAAAGTTCTTTCCTTTGCAGAAGCTGAGCATGAGAAGAACCTGAAGTTGGTGGAAAAGGACAAGCGGTAGAGCGAAGCAAAGCTGAAAAAGAGAATCAATCCCCGCCCAATTATCAGCGTCAGCATCAGCGGACGTTCAAAAGATGGTGGTACACTGGTCTCAATGCTCATCACCAGGAACAATCTCAATGCCATCACCGAGTACCCTTCCTACCTTGGCCGATATGGATACAGCGAATGGATGGAGATCAGGCAAGCCATTCAGTGATCCAAGTCAAGACATAAGGCGATTATCGACGACACCATCAGCGATCTCATCAAACGGATGTCTAGGTATGTCGCGGTCCCTGACAGGCCCTCTCTAAATAAAGGTGGGAAGAAGAAACTCAAGCTCTCTGATCCTAATGATGGACCATTCCTAAGGAACGAACATGAAACAAGGTTCTCCTTAGATGAAGTCTTGAAGGGTCATCAGAGTATAGATATTTCTATGCTGAATCTTGACTTGCCAGATAAGGGTCCCTATACACCCAATGATGTGCATTTCAAACCTGAGTTTTAAATTATATTCCTTGACTATGAAGGTGAAGTCAGATTTCAGAGAATGTCAGAGCTACATCTATGTCCAATGGGTCATCTTGTTTACCTCTTGCTCTGGATAGATGATAGTATGCTTGGAAAAGTCGCAGATCTGAAGATACAAAGGGAATGCCTACGTCGAAGAAACCTTGGTGAAGATGTACCTAGCTACATAGATCGAAGTGTTCTAGAATAGTTTCTCTTTGTAATAACAGTCTACTTTTCCTTGTAAAACTTTTCTACTATGTCTAATTTTAGTGATTAATCTTATAGTCCGTAAGTAATAGACATGTATTGAACTACTTGTAATATTAACAATGATAATAAAATGATTATTTCATGTACTTCACTGAAAAAGATCCCTGAAAAAAGTAATAGAGATACAAGTCTACAAGTTCCAGTGTTACTTTTTACATTCACTGACAATCTAGTCAGTGAATAAGCTTTCAGTTTCAGTTTCCATATTTGTAATTTTCTCTTAGATATGACTTAAGGAAAATTCTCAAGCAAAGACTGACTCACTGAAAAAGATCCCAAAATAATAAAAAGGGACATGTACTTTATATGTAACTTTTCCTTACTATTATTTGATAAGAAAATTTATTTATGTTGTCTTGTTATCATCAAATAGGGGGAGATTGTTGATCATTTCTCTCAGTGATTTGATGATAATCCCTTTTCATTTGTACGTTGTATTTATGTTTCTGTCTTTTCAGTTCCAGCAATCATCATTGAACTTGTTCAGTGATCATTGAAAATTTTGTATTGTAATTCAATCAGAGACAGTGATACTTCAAGAAGACAACACTCACACCAAAGAACCTTCAGATAATGTCGAAGAATGAAATTGAAGATTAGAGACTAGCGAGTACGTGATCTAAAGCAGTACTCAGTGATTACAAGCCTGTCTACATATGTGTGAAGACTGCTCAAGCATCAGCGAATGCTGAACAGACCTCCAGGTTATTCCAGCGTTCAACGATCAAAGGAAGCTCGCTTAGCACGATTGTTGTTGTCTTGTTTTTATGCACACAAAGAACAAAACCATACCCTTTCTAATAGTTAGTACGGTACGGAGGTGACTAATCGACTCTATTGCCCACCAACTTTAGGTAAGGATGTCTACTCATGAATAGTGCTTTTTGTACTATTCACTGTAGCAAAGGACAAACCTTCCTCTTAAGGCTTGACACGCACTCAAACTCTACCATATTGCATTAAATGAACATTTAATGCATTGGGTATAAATAGAAGTGTTTCTTTTTCATGCAGAGTGCGCGCAACTCACTCTCTAAACCTAATTCTTACTTTGAGCATTTTCGAGCTTAAGTAAAAGAACTTTTCTTTACAGCATTTCTTTTCTCATTTGCTAAGAATCTGTGTGTAACCAAAGATTGTTTAGATAGGTTTTCTTACCTTATTTTTTGGCAAACAGTCTTGTAAAATTTGTATTGATCTTCTCTATCAATATACATTTTAAATTTGAAAAATATTGTGTTTGTATTCATCCCCTCTTCTACAAACTGTTTTACTTATCTTGTAGACCCTCAAGGGACCAACAGGTACCCTAAGGTTTCAGGTTTTGACCTAATAGGTTATTCGGATAGTGATTTTGCAGGTTGCTATTTTGATAGGAAAAGCACCACTGGAGGTTGTCACCTTCTAGGCGGAAAGTTGGTGAGCTGGACAAGTAAGAAGCAAAACTCAATGTCCACATCAATCATTAAAGCTGAATATGTAGCCGCTGGAAGTTGTTGTGCCCAAATTCTTTGGATGAAAAACCAGCTGAAGGACTACGATCTTCAGTTCTCAAAGATTCCTATCTATTATGATAGCATCAGTGCTATTGCAATCTCAAACAACCCTGTACTTCACTCCAAGACCAAACATCAGCGTTTAGCATCCCCCATCCCTGACCCATCAGTTGGAACAAAGTGAAGTTCAATATCACCATTCATTACATGATCTATGATAAAATGATTCAGCGAACTAGGGATGCTAAACGCTGAAGAATAATTTTCTTCAGCTATAGACATCAATCAGTAAGTGAAATAATTCAGGGCTCTAACTTTATCGCTGAACTCTTGAGTAAATATATCTACTGCTCAAAGGTATGTATACTTGTTCTTTTTCTTGAAACTTAAAACTATCACTGAAGCTTTCAGTTCTTCGGTGATCAAAGCGTTTTAAAAGTTTGTTTAAGTGATTCTTTCGTTCGCTGAACATTTTTATGAAAGTATATCTCTTTTATACTTATCATTTCTTAAACTTAAAATGATCATTGAACCTTTCTACCTTAAGTGATATAAATGTTTTTAAATGTCAGTTTCAGTGATTTTCTTATCACAGACACTGAAGTTTTTATGAAAATATACTTTTCTAAGTTATTTTCAGTTCTTAAAACAAAACCATCACTGAAGCTTTTCTTCTTCAGTGGTCAAAATGTTTTAAAAGGTTTTTATTCAGTGATTATCTTATCATTGAATGTGACTCTTTGAATTTCTTAACCTTAAACGTTTTAAAAGAAATAGTTAGTGAACCATCTTTATGACGACATTCTCTGTTTTCAATACGAGATGCTTTGAGACGCGCGTAAAAGTCTGACACACGCGATAATGGATGACAATGTGTCATTTCTTTAATCATGGTGTTTCCTTAACAGTCGTATTTTCCTCTCTCCTATTTCTTTTCTCTCTTATTCTACATATAAATATGAGACTCTTCCTCTCATATTTCCTTTACACTTACAAAAATCTTTGACGAACTTCTGCCAAAAGAACTTTGCTAGCAAGAAGTCTAAGAACTCTCGAATCCTTCGACCTTCTTCTCAAACAACTATAAGGTCGATATTTATTCTTTAAACTTCCCACCTTGCACAGTAGAGAGACGTCATGAAGCAAATCTTGGTTGCTCTGCAACAACCAATCCTGGTAGTTGAACCGTCGTTCACTGCTGATGACCGTTACCAGCTATATCAGGCACGTGAGGCCAATGTCATAATGGCCCATGCTCTAACCAAGCTCGAGGAACTAATGAAGTTCTAAATTCACACAGTTGACCACTTCTTCGGCTATTACTCTAAAATAGTAGTCAAATAGGGGGAGACAGCAATAGAAGCTGGTCCTTCCGATGCTGCTGTTGCTGTTGTTTCAGCGACTAAAGCTGAGGCTGAAGCTGAAGGTGAAGCTACCGTTGCTGATGACTCTCCAACTTCTTGTGCAGCTCCCGTAGTTGAGGATGTTGATGCCGCCCGAGCTGAAGCTCGTGACAATGATCCTACAGTCACCTCTGCAACAGATGCTGGTGATCTGGATGATGAAGACAGTGATGATGAAGAGGATGATGAGTCCCCCGACCTTCCTAACACTGGCAAAGACCTAGACGATGAAAACGACGATGACGACAACATCACGATTGAGTACCAGAGACCTGTCGGTGCCACGAAAGGCATCTCCCTTAGGGATTCCGCATCCCAGGGGGAGCAAGGGGTGAAAGAGGCTGCACCTGAAGCAAACCAGGGCCCTAAGTCGAAATAAAAAGGCGTCGCTGAAAAAAAGAACCTAAAGGTACTATTCCAAACTACTCAATCCTTATATGAAGACTGCTCATCTCAGGTAGTCATCACTTCACTGTATCAACTCGAGATACCTTCTACTACCTGCAGTCGGCTAGAATGGGTCCCTAAGAACCCTACCCCCAGCACTCCTACCGACCAGCAGATGACTCAACTCAGAGACTCACTCGACCAAACGAGAGTAAAAATCCCTCTTCGTACCTCTAGTTGTGGTGAGTTCGACTTCCTGAGAGAAGCTGAAAGACTCGAAGCCTTAAGAGCTGAGGAAGAACTTGAAATCCAAACGAAGCAGATTGAGGACATCTTAAAGCTGGCCAAAGTTCTTCCTAAGAGAAAGTCCAAAAAGAAGGTGACCGCTGTCCAGGCCCAGGCTAAGCTTTTATCTCTTGCAGAAGCTGAACGGGACAAGTGTTGGAGTGAATCAAGTATTAATAAGAGAATCAGCCGTCACCCAATCAAGAGCTTCAACATCAGAGGATGATCAAAATACGGTGGGATGCCGCTCTCCATGCTCATCACCAGGGACAATCTCGAGGTCGTGACCGAGTACCCCTCTTATCTTGGCGAATATGGCTTTAGCAAATGCCTGGAGATTCGACAAGCCATTCAGCACTCGAAGTCCAGACATAAGACGATTATCGAAGACCTTATCAACAAGTTGATCAACAAAGTGTCCATATATGTCACAGCCCTGAAGTGCCTACGCTGAAGAAAGAAGGACGAAGAAAAAGACCTTCAAGCCCTAATGATGTACCATCCCTAAGGAACGAACATGAAACAATTTCTCCTTGGAAGAAGTCCTGAGGGCTTCGAAAAAGCTAGACCTCTCTATGCTAAATCTCTTACTGCCAACGAAGGGTCCTTATGTTCCCAACTCTGTGCACTTCAAACCTGAGTTAGGACTTATATTCCCAGACTATGACGGTGAAGTGAGATTTCAGAGAATGTCTGAGTTACATCTGTTGGACCTGTAAATTCAGCTTTGATATTGATCTGTTACTCTGATTGAACTCTAAAACGATTAAAGTGCAGCAAAAACAATTATAAGAACAGAACAGATTAATAAAACCAAGAACACACAGTTAAGATGATGAAGAAGATGAACACAGGAGAATAGCTTCAAAGGTTTTTCAATTCATTCAATTGAAAATTGACGTTTACAATACGGAAGCACAGTGATTACAAAGGCCTTAGCAGCTGTTTATACAAGTTCCTAACGACCTTACTGACAAGATTTAGACGCGTGAAATCATCTAAGCCGTCCAAATAAAGTCTATTAAGTCCTAGTCACGTGAGAAGCACATGCAGCTAACAACCTTTGAAAAATAGTTGGAAGAGGATCTTCACAGAAGACGAAATCCGCAGACCCTCTATGAGCCATCTCAGAGGCTCTGCTGTAATTGACTTGTATGTTCTTATTGACAGAGGACCATTTTCCAGAACCTCTGTGAGAGACATCAGAGGTATCGTCACACTTTGCTCGAATATAAGGCTTCTGTCGTTAGTCCTCTGTTGTCTTCTATGGATGATATCCTTCTGTCAAGACTTGCAAAATACTTTTTCATACTTTTACAAGAAGTGAATAACAGAGCTAACAATCTCCCCCTAAGTATGAAAAAGTAAATTTGAACAAATGGGTGCAAGAATTGACTTATGAAAAAATACAAGAGGTGATTAAACTCATCCTCTGAAAAATAATTACATAAATGAACAAATTGAAAATGTTGAGTAGGCCTATACTATTACAAGAGATTTAATCCATAGCAGAGTCTGGATAGTCATCTATGGCAAATTGCAGATCAGACTTGATAATTTCCAGAAGGTTGTTTACTTCATCCGCCCTTAAATGCCCTTTCTGCACCTCTGTCACCACTAGGTTGAACACCCACTCAAGAGACTCTGTTGAATATTTGTGCGTCTCTTTGGGATCTAAAAACCTTAGAATCTCATCCTTGTCCAGGAATACAAACCCAAATATGGGATTGTGGATAATGGTGTTGGGATGAAATCTAAGCAGCCAACTTGGTCTGTTATTTGGAGGGGAAATATTTAGCTCTGGCTGGGCCAACCTCATCGCAATGTCGAAATCTTTCTGGCTTTAGAACTTGACTTGAGCGTGCATTACCTCAATCAGCCTTCTGAGAGAAATGAATATGTTGACCTCCTCTCCATGTATTTGTTCAATATCTTGTGAAGGAATATTAGGTCAAATACACACAGGTTGTGGAGGTCAGCATCTGTGAAAGTATATAGGTTGCCGTCATCCCTTTTTACCATATATTGAGTGTATAGCACGGTCTTCTTTAGCATTGTGCACGGAGATATGGTTTCGAGAGAAGTGATCACATGCTCTAAGAAGACCTGCTCTGGTGGCCTTGTGAGTTGTAAGAAGTGGAACTTTGCAATGGCAGAGAACATTCCTGTAAGCTCTGGGTCATAAGGGGGCTCTGTGTCCACAGCTGAGTAACGCCACCGCAGAATCACCTCAACAGTGGTTACGGGCTCTATGCGTACCTTCTGCGTAGGAATCTTGCTCATAGATTCAAGTATCTCAGATACCCTCCCCATCATGGCAGATTTTGGCGTTCTGGATTCTTCTCCTAGTATAGGCCTCTGGTTAGACCCCTCTCGTAGGATAGGCTTGACAGTTCCTACCAAAGCGTCAAACGTACCCGTGGACGTTTCTTCTGGTATCTTCGTGAGTTTGGAAGATGAGCCTTCTCCAACTCTGGGGATATGAGCTCTGCCCTTTTCTCGCCTGTGCCTCTGCCAAAGACGCCTTTAAAGCTCGAACAAGATCTGGGTCATCATACTCTTCTTCATTGATCTCCTCTGGCGATTCAGAGCTTGACCCCTTCTGTGGCGATTCCTCTACCGCTTTACCCTTGCCTTTCCCCTTAGGCTCTGGAGATTTGTCTTTAGAAAATAGAGCAGCAGCAGAATCCATTATTTTTAGTGGTTTGGCAGAGGTTGTCTTCTTTGGTTCCTCTGTCTTCTTCTCCCCCTCATGACGATCATGGTCATCACCTCCTTGATCGTCATGGATTTTAGTGGCCTCTGCCTTACAAGTAGTAAGGGGAGCCTTCTTTAATCGCTTTAAAACTTTGGAAGCCGCCTTCTCCATTTTTTGAATGACCTCCTCAGCAATCACAAAGGCAGTGTTGATATCCATCTCTGTGGCCTATTTCATTTTAGAGATGCAGCGATAGATCTCATTTCTTATATTTCAGTCAAACCTCTCAATACGTATGTAAATCTTACAATAAGCTCTCTTTTTTTAATTACAAAGACTTAACCATATTTATATGGTCAAACTAATAAAGACAAGTCAAAGTCAAACCTCTAAAGAAAAGTCAAACACGCTGACTTTTACAATTATAAACGATTTATAAACTTTCAAGATGAATACAATTAATACTGATTTCTCAGTCCTAAGATGAAGTTATCACCTTCTTTGACGAGTTGCTTCGTGCTGTCTCTTATAGATTTGTTGCTTGCTCGGGCTTCCTTGAGGAGTTGGTCGGTGTATTTCTACACGGTCTCTCCAAGGGCTTCAACCATTGCGTCTAGCTCTCTGCGAGTGGCTAGATGGTTAATGTTAGCCTTGGAGGATTTAGAGTCAATGCCATAGGTGACCGCAGAGGAGAACATCCCTTTGATCTCGTCCTTGAAGGCAGAATAATCGGTGTAGCCGGCGGAAATAAAGTCTGCAGCAAATTGGGCGGCAACCTCTGTTAGTTCTGTCTTGAGCTTTTTGGATTGAAGAAGTGTTGAGAGACAGGGCGCTAAAAGCTTCTGTGAGGTCGTCTTTGTTGAGGACAGGGCACTGAAGGGCTGAAACGGTTTCCTTGAGCTCAGAAGTTGTGGAAGTCAACTCCTTCAGAGCCTTTGTAAGAGGTGCAAGAGCCTCTGTCGCCGGTTGGGAGGTGAACAACCTTTTCAACTCATCCAACCTCTGGAATACCGCTGTGGCGAAGGTTTTTAACTCCCCCTTCGTCACATAGGTATCCTGGGAACCTAGATCACCAACACATGGTGACCTAGTAGCCTTGGAGTGTGAGGCGCCCTCAGTGACTGGTTTGTCGATGTCAGCTCGGGGAATTCCACCGGATCCTCGAACATCTCCAATTGGAGAGCCTACCAGTGTTCTATCGATGTCGTGCCTAGTACGTTCAGAGCGTAACTTGGCAGAGGGATCGAGTGGAGACTTTGGGCGTTCTAGACCCGCAGCTCTGTGAATCTCTCGTATGCCGCTGAAGCATAACTTGGTTGTTCACTCAAGTGTGGAGGGGCAACGAATGCCTCTCTGGGTTGTGACGAGTCCTTGGGCGAATGGACTCTTATTGTAAAACCACCATCCTTTTGAGAGGATGTTGGAGTAGATTGTGATTCCCGGACTATGCATTCGACAGAGGACGAAAGAATGTCCTCTGCGAGGTTTGCTGGTTTAGGGCTTAGCGTGTGCACGCTTTTTTCAATAGGGGTTCC